GAGGCCAGGCTGGACCCCGGCAATATGGAAGCTGGGCCTCCCATCTTGAGTCTCTGCTACTTCTGACGTGAACCAGTACTGTGGGGTGGGATCACAGGGGCCTGAACAAAGGCCTAGGGGGAGTTCCAAGGCTGGACCCCAGGATGCAGGGCCTCAGAGAGTGGGTGCAGGGCAAGGGTGCCAACTCTTGTCCCTGCAGCCCAGAGCCCCTTCCTGGCCACAGACGTCTTCCAGCCACTCCTGGCTCTACCAGCCCGCCCCCCACAGGTACCAGGTCCAGTGCTCTGGGTTTCACACACATGAACCCACAGGGCGGGAGCTGCGATGAACCCCAATGACAGATGAAGAGACCAGGGCCCAAGCCTGGTCCAAGGTCACTGGGCTAGCAGAGGCAGGGCCTTCTTTCCCTGCATCTGGCAATGCTCCCTCTGGATCCCCCACAGAATCGCGAACCCAGGTGCGCAAAGAGGGGCAAGCATGACTGCTCACAGCTGTGCTGAGGGAGGAACCACCCTGAGAACAAGCCACTGTGGAACATTCTGGAACAACCCACACAGAGGGGAAGGCACCAAGGCAGTGCTTGCCCTGCAGGGGAGAAGCACCCTGCAGGTGTGGCAAGACCCTATTTGGATAAAAATGGAAAACTCCCCGGGGGTCTGTGCACCTGCGCACCTTTGAAGACTTGCCTGTCCTCTCATAAAGCACAGAAAAGGCCAGAGGGCTAAACCGCCAAGCTGTTAACAACGGGGACTGCTGGGGCGCGGGGCTCGGGGGCGAGACAGGTAAAGTGAGTTTTGCTTTTTAGGTCTACTCTATTTTAATTTTTGAAAATCACAGACTATATATTACTTCTGTAATTAAGAATTTTAAGCATAAATGTCATATGCGAGGTTTATCCCCTGTGGTGTGGACTTTCTTTTGAGGGTGACAGGCAACTTGAATTTTTTACTTTATATAATTCTGTATTATTTAGATATTTACGAAAGGTAGGCAGTTTGAACCCACCAGTATCTCTGCGGGAGAAAGACGTGGCAGTCTGCTCCCATCAAGATCTCAGCCTTGGAAACCCTACGGAGCAGATCTAGTCTGTCATATAGGGTCGCTGAGTCGGGGTCGACTCAACGGCAACAGGTTTTAGATATTTATGAAGAGCCTGACTACTATCACCACTGAGAAAAGCATTTTCCAAGCTGTACTCCACAGGCCCCCTCAGAGCCCCTGCCCTCACCCTGTCCACCCTGCTCCGCTCTACCTGGAGCTGCCGGAGGAGCTTGGGAATCTGCCTGCAGTTCAGCTTCTGGCAGGCCTGCTTGTAGGCTCCGATGACCTCGTCCACAGTCACGTTCTGGGCTGTGGACGCAGAGGACCAGGGCTGTGACTCTCCATACCTGGGTCCCTCACAGGCTTCCACCCTGAGCCCCACCCCCTTCCTGCTTCCAGGCCTCTGCCAACACCCCTCTTCCCACCTCAGTCCCCGGCGTCATCACACCCCCTCCAACAACGGCTGAGCTCTGTCCTCCCTTCTGGGACTGGCGGGCCACTGCTGCCCCGGGAAAGGTCTCCCTGGCATCCCCCGACCATGCCAGCAACCCCCCGCACTGCGCCACACTGTCCCTGAGCACCTTCCCACAAATAGTACACGATAATAAACAGCACGCAATTTCCTGCGCTGGACTGGGAGTCCCAGCAGGGCAGGGCTGGGGCTGTCTTGGTCACCGCTGGGTTCCAGCACCAGCCGGCACAGGGCCAAGCCTAGAGCAAGCATTCAATTTTTTTTGGATGGAAGCATGGGTCCTCATTTCCACCCTAGGAGGAAGCACCCTGCCCCAGGTCACGTGGCCGCTGACAGGTGGAGCTGGGATCAGGCTCAGTCTCAACTGCACCCCCAACTGGCCTCTCACAGAGGTTAGTCACTCAGACGCCTGCTCCCTGTGCACTTTCAACAGCGAACATCCACCACTGACGGCTACTCAGGGCCAGGTCCCCTGACCCGGGGACACAGAAGCAGCCAGCGGCCAGGCTTGGGATGTCCCCAGGCTAATGGGCAGTGGCTCACAGCATGAATGAAGGGCTGCACCCCAAACCCAACAAGTCCCGGCCCTTGTGGGAGGGGGGGAGCCCCCAGCCTGGAGGCGGAGCCAGCCGTGCACAGACTGTCTCCGTGGACGGGAAAGCCGGGCTGTCCCTGTTCACAGATGGGCCTTTTCTGGACATTTCCTATAACGCACCATGAGGCCTTCCCCGACTAGCTTCTTTCACCGAGCCTAAGGTTCTGAGCTCGGTTCCTTTGTCCTGCCGCACAGGACCTGGACGATACACCCCCGCTTTGCAGATCCACTCTCCAGTTGACAGCATTTGTAGTGTTTTCAGTTTCTGGCTATTAGAGCTTGGGTTTCAACAGGGGTGGCCAGGAGAGCAGGAAGAAGGGCCCTGAGCAGAGGGGCCAGGATCAACTCTGGCTGCTAGGAAGGCCTCCTGGG